GGCGATGATGCGGCGATCTTGACAGGCGGACAGAGTGCGTGGGAGCTACGAGGTGCTCTGCAAACCAACCGGCGGGTCAAGTCAATGCCTCCCTTACAAGAACCGTCGATTGTAGAGACTGCTAGTGAAGCCACATAAGGCGCTGGCTGAAAGCCGGCTTCATTGCCTCACGCTCATGGCGGCAAAGGTATGCTGATAAGTCGTCCTCGTCGTCGTAGTGTAGCAGAAGCAGAAGTCGCAGCCGTAGTTGTAGTACGCATCGTAGTAGTAGTAGTAGTAGTAGTAGTCGTCGTCGTCGTCGTCGTCGTCGCCGCCGCCGCCGTCGTCGTCGTCGTCGTCGTGGTCGTCGTAGTAGTAGTAGTAGTAGTAGTAGTAGTAGTAGTAGTAGTAGCAGCAGCAGTAGCAGTAGCAGCAGCAGCAGCAGCAGGAGCGGTAATCGTAAGCAATAACCGTGGTTGCATCCGTGTGAGAGGTGGTCTTTGCCGAAGGCCGGGGACCTGACGGTAATGAGCCCTTGGTGAGTCCCAAAGCGGAAGACCGGAGAAAACACCTCCAACCTGGGACTGCTGTTTGATTCACACTTGTGGGGCGGTTCAGGGTTTTTGGGGTTCAGATTTGGGGCTGGGGCTTCGGGATTCAGGCTCGTGTTTCGGCGCCAGATTTAGACCAAACGCTCTAATCCTGCGGAACATGGGTTTTGCCTGGTCACTGTCCTTACTTTCCACATGACACATGCGACTCTGAGGCCTTGAGGCCTTTGAGGCGCAGCCCTGTAGATCTGCAGAGGCATTGGGACCAAGGGTGCAGGAGTGGGAGATTGCAGAAACTCTTCTATAGCCTGGAGACCTAAAACGACCGAGCGGATAGGTCCGACACTGCCCAGTCACTGCGAGGTCGGCCTGGGAAATCGGGAACCTGAAGCCAGGGCGACACAACGCAAACATCTTCGTCCATGTCATTGTGGGTTGGTGGCTACAGTAGACTAGGCCTCGGGCCTTTTTAAGGCTTCTTTCTCTGGGGTTCCGGGCGTATGCAGCGCCCACTTGGCCATCGGGTTCCGCTGACGCCCCGTTGCTGAGGAGGCGCGGGACCTCAGCCAGTGCGGTGTTGAGAGGATTGGCGGTTTTGAAAGGAACTCAGAGACGCAGAGATTGCGCTTTCGGTATCCACAGCTGAGGATAGAGGGCTTCAAGCTCTGATGGATTTTGAGCTGTCTATGCCTCTCAGCTATGTGCGGTTCTTCCACAGCCCGGTTGGAGGGCGCTTTGTGCGCTGGGTGTCTGGCACAGTTGACTGGCGCGAGGCGCTATTGCCGCGCGAGCGAATGCCGCTGCTGCTCCCAAGGGACTGCAGACAGAAGAGGATAGTATGCGAGCAGAACGTCTGTCAAGGTCTGATGCAGGGGCCTCTGGCTCATGTTCCTCGTAGGACAGGATCACCAAGCTGCTCTCCTCGAGGCAAACGGTTGCTAACCTATTATACGCCTCTCACCCTAGAAGTTGAGTGCATGGGGCGCAGCCCATGATCGAATATGATTTTGCGCTTGCTCCCGAATCTCGCAGCCAACAACTACCCGAAACCCCCAGTGCAAGTCCCAAGCCTCGCATGTCATAAGGCAGCGATTTGACAAAACACGAACTCGAGTGTGCCAGACCGAAGAGTCCGTCCTCTGTGCTGGTGCTCATGTTCCACATCGTCGCCTCGGCATAGACAAACTGCTGAAGGGAAAAACAGTCTTTGCGACCACCATTGATAGCTCGTCATGAAGCATGATGCCTCAGGCAAGATTTCAGAAGACGGACGCACGCAACCCAAATGCTGAAACCCGAAGCCAAATGGCTGCCTGATGCTGCCCGAAAGAACCGCAGGCCTTCTCGCCAGGCATGCGGAAAGTACCGATGGACTCCACCTGCGGTCAAGGCGGCTCTCGGCCTTCAATCATGAAGAGGAGTTCGGCAGGCGAAGAGACAGCCCCGCAAAGCCATGGACCAAGTCCCAAACCCAGGGGGAACGTTCGAAATCGTCATCTTTCAGCTGTGAGCCCCAGTGTTGATAAGGCAGGGGCATGAGCTTTGGCGTCCACGCGAAAGACGCCGATGTAGCCCTGGTCCCCCCCGACAACGAAGCCCTGCAGCCAGGCCTGCCAGCATGCAGAATCGAAACTTGCTGAAGCTTTGAGCATTTCTCATGCCCTGGTCTGTGTGGTGTAGGCACAGGCTTCAAGATTTGTAGGCTTTTGTAGTTCGCACAGCCTGAAACCCCTCAAACCATAAGGTCTTTTCAACCCCCACGCAACCCCAACCAGCCCAAGCCCTTCGCGCCGTCACCGCCGTGAGCCGCACCGGCGGCGGCTCCGATGCGGTTGTAGGCCCTGCCTTTCCCACAAAGAACACGTAGAAACGTAGAAGCACCGGCTAATCCAGCCTATAAGTTCTTAGCATTCTCTCGTCAGGGGCCTACACTTTCGGAGAAGCTTACGCGCTGAGGATCTGATTTCTAAGATCAGCAAACTCCGCACCACGGCCTCGCCCATGATCTTTGCAAGCTCTTTTGCCTTGGCGACTTGGTTCTCGTTCTCCGAAGCCATCGGGAATGTTGAAATCGCCAGGTCTGAATCCAGGATCCTCAAGGAAAGCCTCTGCGAACTTTGGTAGTGCGGACGGTACATTTCCTCCAACCCGAAAACCCTAAAGCTGAAACCCTAAACCCTTAAATCCACAAACCCTACACCCCGAAACCTCCAAACCCTTAACCTCTAAACCGACTTACACCCCGGTACGTGGGCTGGCCTGCTCCCGCTCGACGGCTTTCGGGCCTCACGGCTCAACAGGGAAGAAGGGCCCTGCTGGGATGATGCTGCCGGGAGGAAGCCCAGGAATTCTGAGGGCTTTTAGGATTTGGGGCTTAGGGATTTTAGGCTTTCAAGCTTCGAGCTTAGGACTTAAGGACGAGCCCATCTTCAGTTGACGGGCACCCCACAAAGCGAGAGAGAGAGAGGTAGAAGAGAGCCCGGCCAGTGGACTCGTCTTTCTCAATATGAGCCCGGACATCCACATCCTCACCGAGCAAGGGGCTGGAACAAACTTGCTGACTTCTTGTATAGTTGTGCAAAGCCGACGCTGCAACTCTAGCATGCCATGCCTTACGTCTTACGACATTTGCCCAACCTATATATTTTGTAGAGCGTGGATCCATATAAGACTCTAGATCTCAGTGACATGCCGATATCGAGAGAGATCTTAGCGGGGATTGATGGGTGAAGAGTCGCAGCTGCAGTTCGGACCAGTGCATCTTCAAGTTCAGTTAAGACCGCGATTTCCAGAAAGTCCTCGCGAAGTTCCCCATCTTCGAAAACGAAGACGCGCCCATCCTGCCAGAACGCGATCTGCTGCCTAAGACAAATCCTAGGCAACATCGGCGCTCCATGCTGCCAGAGACAAAATCACAGAAAGTTCGGACCCTCCTAGAAATCCGAAACCCATCCCTCCAGCATGGGAGGCAAGATGAGCACCCTAGCACCACTGCCTCTGAAGCAGCGCACAGGAAGACGGAAAGCACCCAACAGTGGTCCACGACCTCGCCCAGAGACTGGAGAAGAGGGCACGACTGCTGTTAGAACAAGGAGTACCGCAAGCAGCTGCAGGAAGAGCCTCAAAGTCTTCATGGTGATAACAACGATGAACGAGTCATGATGACGGCAAGGAGACAGGGTATTTCGGGTACAGGACAAGAACCACAACAAAAAACACCACCACTACCACCACGACAACGACGACGACTAGCACGATCACGACGTCCACGACGACCACGACGACCGCGACGACTGCGACGACTACGACAGGACCACGACGACCAAGACCACGAGGACAACGACACCAAAGACGAACATGAACCATCCGCATTAAGCCGACAATATTAAAAACAGAACCTACCAGACAGCAAACACAAAGCAATGAGAACGCTGCTGAACAAAATGATGACGATTTCGGGCAATGAGGACGATGCTGAAAAATGCGATGAACATCCTAAAACACCGAGTTTTTGTACCAACAACAAAAACGACTGGCCGCTTCATTCCTGTGATATAAACAATAGAATATGGATTTTCATGACCACGATCCGTGCTTCAGGATTGATGGCATGCTCATTACTGATAATGAAATTGGTACAAGCAGTACTCAGTACAAGAGAGGGCACCGCAGCAGTTCTGGTAGCTGCGGTGGTAACAGCAGGAGCTGGAGCATGAGGACGTGTAGGTGGAATAGAAGCAAGAGCCTGGCCGCCTTAGCTGGAGGACGAGGAAGAAACACACGGGAATGAGCGCAGGAAGGGGGGAGATCAGATGTAAGACCGGAAGGGCAGCTTGCGCCATCTGCTTCGCTTCACCAGCCTTCATCTGCTTCTCCTGCTTCAGCGGGAACAGGGATGGGTTCTCGTTCAGGCCATGGTCCTGACCATGCAGGAGTTTTGGCAATTGCTGCTCGGTTCAGTCACCAGACGCAAGCCAAAACAGACGACCGCCACAATGATGGCCGTGAGGATGATACTGACAGGGATGAGGGCGACATGACCATCGCCACGCTTCCATTATCATAACGATCGCCATCACCATCAGCACCATCATCGGCCTCGCCACAATGCCATCATGCTCATGAACTCATGTCCAAGACCAAAAACATCATGTTCGTGATCCTCATGCTAATGACCACCAAGGTCTGCATCACAATTTTTGCTGCAGCCGTGGTCGTTATCACCTTTGTCGTCGTCGTCGTCGTCATCTACGTCATCGCTATCATCATCATCATCATCATCATCATCATCATCATCATCCTCATACCTGTCATGTGTGTTCTCATGACTCCTCGTCGTCCACAACCAGCCACAGCGTAACAACGATGAAGACCAAATCAGAGTTTACCATGACCAGCTGCGGTAATGGTGCGGTCATTCACTCTCATCTTCGCGTTGAAAGTTTTTTTGCGTCAGAGGCAACGAGGGGCCGAGGCTGGTGCATTGGGATTGTAGTCCCAAAGTCTGAAGTAGGAGTACCTTGGTACACCAGACATTACTTCTTCATCGAGAGACACACATCAGCATGAAGCGAGCAGTGATTCACACACATTCAGCCTTCGGATAAGCGGGGGACCCTCCGACAGAGAACTGTGTCACGTTGCTCGGGTTCACCAACACCCGGTTGACCTCGGCTCAAGCCAAGAGATACTGCAGGGACGACAGGGAGACGATGCTCAGGACTTGAGAATTGAGACCGCCATTTGGCAAGTCACCCAGTCTCATTCGGGGTGGTTTGGCTCCTATACCTTCAATATCAACAGCACTTCTTCCACTTGTCGGGAACGTCGTGGCCATGGATCTTGACTGAGTAAGCGGCTGGAATCTGCATGTCGTGCGAGGACATCAGCTTCTCAACATCCCAGCGCCAGTAGGAAACCTGCATCGAAACGCAAGCCATCCTCGCTGTCCTTGATACCCCGACTCTTCACAAGCCCGTCACTGAAAAAGATTCTTTCAGTCACAGCTCGGATCCGTAATTAGGGCTCCTTTGATTAAGAGATAGACTCCACGCTAAGACAGGGCAGGAATGACGAAAGCCCAAGTGTCCGAGCACTCAAGTCCCTGCAGCCTCAACTCCATGGGTGTCTCCTTCACAATTACCCGATTCCCTAAGCTCAGTCCGGAATCCATAAAAACCTTCAACTTCTGAACCCCTTACAAAACAAAAACAAAGAGGAAGATGGGCGTCGCACCGTCGAGTCCGGCATGCTAGAGAGGGACACGAGGTGCTTGCCGTCCGCCGTGAAGGCGAGGTCTGGCAACAGTTCTAACTGTTGGCTTAGGGCTTGCGGTTTAGGGTTTAGGGTGTGTTGAGTTGGCTGGGTTTCAGTCTGGATTTGTGCCCTACTGTAAACCCTAAACCGAGCCTCAAATCAAGGAGTTTGGGTGTTTTGGCCTGCAGTGAGAAGGCGCCAGACGCTAAAATGACGATATTTTCTGGGCCTCACCTGGAACAGCATGGACAATGAGGAGTGCAAGGGAGACTTACGACGGCTTCTGCTGGTAATCATGCAGTACACCTGAAGAGCAAGCTACAGGCTCAAATCGCTTCAGCGGTAAAGACTATCGCATACTTTCGCGTATGACCATGGCGGACAGGCAGAATCGAAACAAGACTCGATACATGAAGGCCACACTGCAAGATGCACAGCAGGAATGTCCCTTCCAAGAAATGAAGTTCAGAATGCAGGATTAAAGCACGCTTGCTCTTTGAGCTAGCACGGGACTGCGTGACACCCCAGGTTCGAGCCAGAGCGCACTGGTTCTTTCAGATGTTCGCTGCAAAACACCGCAGGTCCTGAAGCAGGAACATGAAGTTACTGCTGATGCTGCGCACCTACAATGTCAAGTCGCTTGTTCGTCGGGTGGAGAACTTTCAAGGACTCGTCTTTCATGTCCTGCCAGAGGGCAACAACTCAGCTTCTCCGAACCTGCGCTTGAAAACACGTGCGATATGTCATCCGGACGGCAATGCCAACAAGCGACAGTTTGAATGACAAACAAGCCTGCGTGCGCATGTCAGAACTTTAATTGTTCAGCTAGGCTCAGCTAGGCACCTAGGGCCTAGATGCATGACGCTCGAGCTGTACGCGACTTGTTCGACACTGCCAGCCCTTCCGCCCCGGTGGGGTGACGGCCTTGCTTTCTCCGATGCTCTCCACCTTGAAAAAATACCACAAGTAGCTTCTGACAAACTTACTGGAAGGGCACCGTGTGTGCACAAGCCCCTTCGGCAAGGCAACGGGCTGGAGGACTGCTACATTCTTGACTGGAGATGCAACTGTTGCGAAGAACGGCAGACGCACATATCTTGCGCGCAGAAACGCAGGAAGCCCTTCTCTAGACTCCTCTACGACGAAGACTGAATGACACAAACTTCTGCAAACTCCGGAAGCCCTGCCTTGGGCAGGCTGAGCACACTGATCTGTGAAGCCTGAGCCGGCGGACTTATCTTCGACTTAGTCCTGCGCTTTTCGCCTGCTTGTGGTACTCCTTCTGTTTGAGGTGTCGAGCACGAAAAGTGTCTCAATGCTCGACCTTGAACCTGTGGCTCCGACAGCAGAAAGCTTTTCCAAGAGATGATGCGTGCTCGGGCTCGGAAACCCGTGATCTGACCTGGTTTCCTGGTCAGCACACTTGGTCCACAGCATGCTGATTGGAGGCATCATCCGACCTCGAAGCACATGGAACATCGTGCACAACACAGCTCGCATGACCCGCCTAGCGGCTTAAGCTGGTCGATGCGGAACTCCCGAGCTGCAGACCCAACACGCTCGCCTACGGCTATCAGCTTGCCGTTCGCAGACCTCGGAGACGGCAACTGCTTCAGCTGCGCAGCCATGAGCACCACAATTGCCGATCGTAGGCACACAGCTTGGTCATGGCAGTGATGGTTCTATGCCTGCGTTCGTGCGAAATCTGCGAGAGCGGGAAAGCTCGCTCGAAGCCAACTTGTTGCCCAGGCCTGGTGTCCCGACCCAGGAAGCCTAACCTCTGCCGACTTTGGTGGCAAAGGGCAATGTGCCGACCTCCAGATGTCATCCACATCGGAGGTCAAGAAGCTTTGGCTACAATGACCAGTTGCTGCTCAAATCCATGTCGTGGGGGGCTTCTCGCACTCTCTGGGCCTACACAGAAGGCAAAGGCATCGTCTCCCAAGGAGATGACCTGAGGAGATGTGAACGACCGATGGGCGGGCGGTTCAGGCTCGATATTATGAGTTTAGATTTCAAGCCTTCGGGGCGAGAGTGGTTTGTTTAGGACTCCTGAAGAGCCCCAAGTTGCTTGAGCAGTCCACGAGCTCTTCACCCGGTAGGGTACAGCGTCAGAGCAGGGACTCTTGGACGGAAGGTCCGAGAATGCCATGCAATCAGGAAGTGTCCTGACTTCAGCTTCTTCGAACGATCCTCCTATCTGCTTCAGACAGATTGCTTCAAGCTCTGGAGCCGTCAACCGACACATAAAGTTCGATATCGCATGAAAACTAGTTACATAGGCATACACACTAAAACTAATCCACTATTGTTCGTCTCTCTGTCTCTCCTTGCGTCTCTCTTCGCGGATCTCTCTCTCTCTCTCTCTCTTTCCTTGCCTGGACACAGGTAGGTACTTTAGTATGTACATCATGCTTCTGCAACTACATTCACCCTGTCGCTTCTGCCCCGCTGCTGGCCCGAATCAGGTTTCGGCAGCCGAAGGCAAGGCTAGGCCCCCCACAGCATCTTTGATGAGGCTCGGATAGACCCCAAACCTGAGATCTAGGGCTTGAAGGTTCTTTGGAGGCACAGTCGTCCCTTCTGAAGGACTTCGCTTAGCGCTTTAGTCGCTGCAGCCAAAGAGAGTAAAGAGATTGCCACGGTTTGCCATAGCTTCTGCTTGTAAATGACAACTGGAGACAAATCATGATTATTGTCTTGTGATGCTGGTGATGTGCTTCCAGATAAATTTCGTAAGTAGTTCATAGGTGCTGATCATGAATCCGCCTGGGCTCTGGCGTTTTGGGGTTACCTCGAGTTCCCTTCACCCAATTTTCACCCCCTCGCCCGGCTTCGCTTGATTTTACCTGACTTGTTGGCCTTTGCCTCCTCGACCCTCTCACTTTTTGCTGTTTTCTTGCGTTTTTTGAACCCTTCCACTTCCCCCCCCCCCCCTGCCCCGCCGCTTCCCTCCCCTTCCCCACCTTTCCCAGCTGCAATAGACCCGCTTTGCCCTGCCGTTGCTGCCTCTGTTCCCTGTTTTTCTGACTGCATGCTCTGTTTTTGGCTGTTCTCTGTGTGCTGCAGGACTCAGCTCCTGCTCTTTCTTTCCTGCTTGTTTGCCCGCCCACCTTTCCTGTTCTGGCTCCTTGGACGGCACGGCTGAAAAAGGCCTGAAGAGTATGAAGAAACAGAAGCACAGTTTGGGACCAGCTTGGCTTAGGTAACAGCCATTTGAAGAAGCCGTCAGTACAGTGGGCAGGCGTGTTGGGGGTCACCTCAAGTACCCTCCACTAAATCCTCCTCCCTGCAGTCCAAACGGTTGGAACCACCCGGTTTTTGCGTCGATTTTCCACCCCCCCCCAGTAGACTACTCATGCAAAGCCGCAACTTTCCGTGCCTTCTGGCCCTCAGCAGCCGAGGCGGGCGGCTATAGAACCGGGAACAAAATGTCACGCATACCTACCTCTATACCAGAAGAACAAGTACCTGTAAGTACGTACACACATGTGAGATCAAATCATTTGGTTATGTCTCTACATATATGTATGTACGACAAGCATGATTACATGCCTGCATGTATACATTACCTTACATCACGTTACATCACATCACATTACATTACATTAAATGATTTAAAAAAATACAGTATTTGCATACATACATACATACATACATACATACATACATACATACATACTTACTTACTTACTTACTTTTTAGCTACTTACTTGCCTGCTTACTTGCTTGCCTACACACTTACATACATACTTACCTGCCTACTTACAGGCTTGCATGATACATGCAGGCACTACACACACACACGTAAATGAACACACACACACACATACTATCTAAACGCACACACATCTATGTATATGTGTATATATATATATATATATATATTATGTGTGTGTATATATATATATATAGTGCATATCCGCACACAACCGTACATGCACATGCATAATAAATATATATATATATATATATATATACATATACATATACATACAGACACAGAAATGCATGTGTGTGTGTGCGCAGCATAACCTTGGTCCAACTGTATGGCTACGCTCGCTTTTCCTGCCACACCGCACGTACCAGTGCCCTCATTACCAGTCCGACAGCTGCCGCCACAATCGCAAAAAACACGGCGACTGCCAACACTACTGCTACTGCCATTACTGCTGCGATTGCCACTGCTGCTGCTTCCCCCTCCTCCTCCTCCTCCTCCTCCTCCTCGACCCCCTCTTCCTCCCCCTGCTCCTGCTCCTCCTTCTCCTCCTTCTCCTTTGCCTATCACTTCTATTTCTACTTCTGATTTGCGACAGCGCTGACTGCGCGTGAGGCCGACGACAATGCTGACGACCTTTCTAGCTGCAACTATACCTCCTGCGCCTGCTCCTCCTTCAACCGCTCCTGGAAGTGCTGCTGCAAGTCATGTTGCCACCACTAGTATGCTTGGCAGGCACTTCGACATTGGGGCTGATCACAGAGCTTCAAGCCCTTGAAGCAATCGTGAGATACGTGCCTGTGTCTGGGTGCGTCCATTCCGAGGTCCCAGCGCGTGCGTGAGCCGAAGCGAGACATCCGGCTCCACCTTGGGTTTGCGAAATCTGATATCCTGAACCGGTGTCTGACGGCACTGGCTTGTCTAAGGCTGGCACCGAGGAGACGTGCGACA